CACTCTCAAGCTGCTGGGCGACAACTCGGCGGCCAACTGGCACTCCTATGCTCACTCCGTCGAGGTGTTGCTTTCCTCGGTCATCGTCAGTGGATATACCTTTCGCTCCGCTTTGTTCCAGGAGGAGGGTGGACTCCAACCCATCGCCCCTTCCGCCCCCACTGGACTTGCTCCCGATGAGCCCGGACCCGAGCCCGAGCCTCCTGATGACCCCCCCCTCCTTCGCGCCGGATGTTAACAACCCACAAAGCGTGGAGTCTGCCATCCGTGCCTATCGCACCTCACTTAACGACCACCTTCGCCGCCAACTGCATTACGACGACGACAAGCGCACCTACGACAGTGCTACTGCCCGCCACCGCGAATACCAAACCCAGCTCGCCACTTACACTACACGCTTCCCCACCTACACCACTGATATCGCAGCGTGGCGCATTGCTGATCGTCGTGCCCTCGCATTGCTGATTTTGTTGTCCTGGTCAGAGAGCTTGCTGTTGAGGTTGGTAATGAGTGACTACTGCTGCTGGATGCGCGTATCCTGCTCAGCAGCATGATCCTGCAGCTTAGCAATTTCAGCATGCAGAATGTCCTCCTCCCCTTCCAACTCAATATCATCCTCCTGAGACTCCTCTTCTTGCTCCTTGGAATTTTCAGCAGCTGGAAGGTCCTTAGCAGGGGAGTTAACAGCAGGTTCCTTTCAGCCATTTCCTCATCCATGTTGTTCAAGCCAATCTTCTACACACAAGCTTCCAGTTCAGCATGGGAGTTGTTGCCTTCAACACCACCAGCATTGGAGTTGGTAAAAGCCATTTAGAGCAAAGTCACTGTATTATATAAAAGAGTTACAGATCTACTGCAAATTGTTATCACCGCAGTGAATAACCAAGATTTTCTCCAAAGGAGAAATTTCTTCAATAGATCTTACAACCACAGCAATGTGAAAAACAACTTTGTTGCAAAATATCCTTACCACCGCAGTGGATAAGGCAAGAACAATCACAAAGTGATTGTCTTCAACAGAGGAAGTTAATCCACACAGGTTGCAACTTCTTCACAGTGGCTCCAGTAGTTCCACCAGCAAGGAGGGAGGGAGGGGGTAGAACTCTTGGAGAAGCTTCCAAATCTTGAAAACCTGAGCTTGAGTAGCTTGTAGTCTTCAAAATTTTATAATATGGAGATTACAATGAAAAGCACCACTCCTCCAAGAAAAAGAAAATGAAAAATCCTCTTAGATGCCCACATGGCGAGGATCTACTAATAGCTCTGATTACCAATGTAACGGATCCACTAACAAAAGGGCATTTACCCATGTAATAATAGGTTCTAATACAAACAGAGGGTAGCAGCTCTTGGAAATTACTAAGTCTGAGAGTTGCTAGGAGATGCAGTCACAAACTGTGGAGGATGAGTTGAGGAGAAAGCAATCCTGTTTCCCAATTGATTATTTGGGAGTAGGAAACGAAGAATGAACCAGAAGGCTCAAACCCCCTTCCCTAGACCCCCTTGGGGTGCAGCCACCTTCCCCATGGCAAGGAGGGGTGCACTCCCTTGGGCCTTGCCCATGTGGAAATGGTTGGGGTTGCCAACCAATTAGACAGCAAATAGCAAGGATAACAAATGCACACTTATCACAAACCTCACAAACCTGAGTTGTTGCATTGGTTGTAGTTCAAGGAAGAGTCGAGTTGGATTCAGGTTGGCTGTTTCCGATTGGTTCTATTTCCAACCAGCGGCGGAAGTTCCGTCGACTCACTTTGTGTGAGAATGCTTTGATTGGTTGGGCTAGGGTGATGTTTGAACTTACGTGGGTTGTTTTCAAACCTATCGCGTAAGTTCCTGTAACAATTGTACAGCAGAGCTCTGATTGGCTAGTTTTCCAATCAAGGCAATTCCGAATTCCTCGCTTCCAATCAAACTCCACCCAATCCTAATTCTCCCTTGTTTCCCCCCTCAGCAGGTTCGACGAATCAAGACCAGGTGGGGGTATGTACGAATGTTACACTCCTCCCCCTCCAGCTGGCAACGTCCTTGTTACCGTGGGGTGCTTCTTAGGACGAGTGTTGCGAGCACGACGAACCACATTACGACCAGGGTCAACACCATCCGCTGGTTGTGGGAGTGCTCGCTGAGCCAGGTCTTCTATGTAAGACTGAACCGCAGTATCAGTCAAATGTTCTTCCGGCTCCCATGAGTTGTGTTCAGGCCCATAGCCTTTCCACTTAATGAGGAACTCTCGTACAGTCTTGCGGCCGCGTTGTCGATCACGATGCAAAGGCACTCGTTCGACTTCATAGTATAGTTCCTCCCCTAGGACGATTGTTGGTGGTGGTAAGTACTTGCCTTCTGCAACGTACTTGCTTAATAGAGACACATGGACATTGTGAATCTGAAGGGTATCAGGTAGCTTGAGTTTATTAGCTACCTCACCAGCTCATTGAACTACCTCGAAGGGCCCAATCAAGCGAGGGAACAACTTTCTCGCACCAGGGATCTTAAGCCGAATATTCTTCGTGCTTAACAAAACTTTGTCTCCAACGGAGAATGAAACTTACCGGCGTTTCATATCGGCATAGGATTTTGCCTTTGTTGGGCTAATTGTAGCCAACGACGTGCCGACTTTAGGGCCTCTCGTTGCTTGCCCACAAAATCCTTTGCGGCAGGTAATTTCAAACCGCCGATCCCATGCGTAGCAGGTGTTGTGAAATGCCAACCACAGTTCAGAATAAATGGTTTTTCTTGTGTGCTATCATGCACTGAGTTGTTAATCGCAAACTCGACCATGACAACTCGTCCCACTTATCCTGTGTTGGGCTTATGAAAGAACGAAGCATCTGCTCGGGAGTGCGGTTAGTCCGTTCCGTTTGCCCATCTGTCTGGGGATGGAACGCTGACCACATCTTAAGCTTCGTTCATAGTGTCTCAGTTACTTCACACCAGAATCGGCTCATGAGGCGTGGGTGGCGATCAGACACTAATACATGTGGCAATCCGTGTAGGCGGAACATATGTTTCACGAACAACCGAGCAGTATCCTCTGCTGACACGTCTGTTGTCGTGGGTACGAAGTGCACCATTTTTGTAAGGCAATCTACAAAGACGAGTATCGTCGTATACTCATCACGGGTTCTTGGGAGGTCCGTAATGAAATCCAGTGAAACGCTTTCCCAAGGTTCACTCGGAATTTCAAGTGGTTGAAGCAAACCACCAGGCTTCTATGTGTCCAGTTTGTTACATGCGCACGTGTCACAACGTGCCACAAACTGTTGGACATCACTACCGACTCCTGGCCACCAATACACATCTCGTAGGGCCCATCGGGTCTTATTCATGCCCAAGTGTCCCCCATATTTAGTGGCATGCACCTCTTCCAAAATATCGTTCCGCAGGTTGCCTACCTGAGGTACCGCAATCTCTTTTGTTCGCCACCAAAGATCGTGTTCCCATGTCAAATGTCTGGTGTTTTGTGGGTTCTGGAACCAGGAATCGATATAATATCCTGTACGAATTTGTTTCAGAAAACCACTGAACGTGATCTCGCTGACTTTCGCCACGGCTAGTATGCCACAACAGACAGCAAAAACAGCCGCGTGTTCGGTATCATCAAGCCCGGTTGCTGCCCCTATCGGCTGTCTGCTGAGGGGGTCAGCCAGGTTCTTCGAACCTGCACGATAACGAATGTCGAAACTGAACCCACCAAGGAGTTCAGCCCAACGGGCCTGACGGCGAGTGAGGGTAGCTTGGGTAGAAGAATATGTGTTCGGACAATGGTCAGTGGTGACCACGAACTCTACCCCTTCCAAGTAACATCGCCATGTTCTTAGCGCATCAACGACAGCCAACAACTCTTGTTCGGTCGTCGTGTAGTGTTGCTCTGCCGGGGAGAGTTTTCTACTCTCAAATGCCACAGGGCGTCCTTCTTGCAGGAGTACTGCACCAAGTCCCACCGTTAAGGTGTCCGTACCCACCTCATATGGTTTCTGTGGGCTTAGTAACACCAAAACTGGTGCATTAGTTAATTTATGCTTGACCTCTTCGAAGGCCTTTTGGCACTGTGGAGTCCACTCCCATGTGCACCCTTTCCGGGTCAATGCCGTGAGGGGAGCGACTATCGTGGAATAATTTTCCAAGAAGCGACGAAATTAATTCGCCAGGCCCAGAAATGATCGAACTTGGCCTACGTCACGTGCGACGGGCCACTCCTGGACAGCTGCTACCTTCGTGGGGTCCACTTTCAATCCGTTATGCCCCACCACGTGCCCCAAATGCTCCAGCTCACATTTGTTCTCATTTCAGGTGCGTAGTATTTATGCTCGCGTAATTTTTCGAGGACCCATTTCAGGTGTTCACTATGCTCGTCTTCGGTTTTTTAGTATACCAGGATATCATCGAGGTACACCAAGACGAACTGGCCAATTGAATCACGAAAAACATCGTTCATCGCCCTCTGGAAAGAGGCCGGAGCGTTGGTCAAGCCAAAACTTAACACACGCCACTGAAAATGGCCGAACGGCGAACGGAAAGCCGTCTTTGGAACATCGTCCTCTGTTATACGCAGTTGGTGATAGCCTTGCGCCAAATCCAGTGCACTGAACCATTGCGCACACTGTAGTCGATCAAATAGATCTTCTATCTGCAGAAGTGGATATCTATTTTCGATCGTTATTATATTCAGGGCTCGATAATCGACGCACATGCGCAGTCCACCCCCCTTCTTGTGAACGAACAAGATAGGTGCTCCATATGGGGACGCGCAATTGATATTATCCAAGGCAAATTTTGGTGATCACAAAATATAATTGAGAATTTATCTCGTAGTGATTCAACTGTGATATTTTCAAGTGGGTGAAATCTAGAGGCAAACAAAGAACTTTCATTAAAAGAAAATGCATTTACACATGCAATTCTACAATCAACAAGGCCTTCGAGTTTCAACAACTCCTCATCCCGCAGGACCACTGCCTGATCCTCTCGATCTACTACGCCCGCTAGGTACCCACCCCCTAGTTGGGCTTTGAAAAATCCCGCTGGCTGCCCGAGGGACCACTGCCGTCATTGCGCCTGTTCTCCGTCTTAGGCTTGCCAGAGAACTTCACCGACTTGCGGTGGCGGCACTCATATCCCTTGTGTCCAGGCTTGCCGCACTTGAAGCAGCTTTGGACATTGCTTGGTCCACCCTCGTTGACCTTCTTGGCCTTGTGGTCAGCCTGCTGCCTCTGCTGGAAGGGCCTCTTGTGGTTCCCGCCCTTCCAAGGCGTTCCCTGCTGCATTCCACATGGACCCTCAGGGCTAGACGACGGCCTTGGGGCCTGCTGCGGCTGGGTGGTGGTTTTCACATAAGCACGGAAATGCTTATCAGTGGTCCCCACCACGCGCTTCACGTGGTCGTAGGACCTCCATGCCTCCCCAGCCCCATCAGACATGTGCATGCTCTGGAGATGTTCAGGCAGCCCCCTGAAGAACAAGTGGATCTTCTCACCCACGCTCATGCGTTCTGCCGATTTCTGCAGCACCCATATCTCCTCGAACTCCACAGCGTACTGCTGCACTGTGCGGTTCCCGCACTGCAGCTTCTCAAGGCGGCTGCGCACCTCCAGCTGGGTCGGCTGGACCTGGAAAGCTTGCTTAAGAGCAGATGCGAATTCCTCCCACCCAAACGGCTTCCTATCCGCCTCAGCCTGGATCTTGCTGCCATACACCACTCGATGTGCATTCTAGTCCAGCACACTGGTGGCAGCGACGACGCGAGCGTAGTCTTGGACCTTGTGCGCCTTGAACAGGTCGGTCATCATTGACAACCACGCAGCCACGTCTGTCTTGCCCAGGATGAATGGCGGCAGGGTGATTGACAGAGAGCCAAAAGCCTGCGTGTTCGGCTCAGCAGCACGCTGCGTAGAAGGTCCGGGGTCACCCGCCACACCACTAGAGCGAGAAGGGTTGGTGCGACCGCTAGCAAAGTTGGCAGGCGGGTCCGCTCGTGGTGGAGGGCGATACATGGTCTCCCTTCGGAGGGCACTGAAAGCCTCGCGCAGCTCGTTGATCTTTGAAGTCTGCCTCGCCATCTGATGAACGTGCTTCCGCGCATCATGCTTCATGTTTTTAAGCTCAACTTCCAGGGTTTAGGGTCAATAGATCTTACAACCACAGCAATATGAAAAACAACTTTGTCGCAAAATATCCTTACCACCGTAGTGGATAAGGCAAGAACAATCACAAAGTGATTGTCTTCAACAGAGGAAGTTAATCCACACAGGTTACAACTTCTTCACAGTGGCTCTAGTAGTTCCACCAGCAAGGAGGGAGGGAGGGGGTAGAACTCTTGGAGAAGCTTCCAAATCTTGAAAACCTGAGCTTGAGTAGCTTGTAGTCTTCAAAATTTTATAATATGGAGATTACAATGAAAATCACCACTCCTCCAAGAAAAAGAAAATGAAAAATCCTCTTGGATGCCCACAAGGCGAGGATTACCAATGTAACAGATCCACTAACAGAAAGGGCATTTACTCATGTAATAATAGGTTCTAATACAAACAGAGGGTAGCAGCTCCTGGAAATTACTAAGTCTGAGAGTTGCTAGGAGATGCAGTCACAAACTGTGGAGGATGAGTTGAGGAGAAAGCAATCCTGTTTCCCAATTGATAAGTTGGGGGTAGGAAGTGAAGAATGAACCAGAAGACTCAGACCCCCTTCCCTAGACCCCCTTGGGGTGCACCCACCTTCCCCATGGCAAGGAGGGGTGCACTCCCTTGGGCCTTGCCCATGTGGAAATGGTTGGGGTTGCCAACCAATTAGACAGCAAATAGCAAGGATAACAAATGCACACTTATCACAAACCTCACAAACCTGAGTTGTTGCATTGGTTGTAGTTCAAGGAAGAGTCGAGTTGGATTTATGTTGGCTGTTTCTGATTGGTTCTATTTCCAACCAGCGGCGGAAGTTCCGTCGACTCACTTTGTGTGAGTATGCTTTGATTGGTTGGGCTAGGGTGATGTTTGAACTTACGTAGATTGTTTTCAAACCTATCGCGTAAGTTCCTGTAACAATTGTACAGCAGAGCTCTAATTGGCTAGTTTTCCAATCGAGGCAATTCCAAATTCCTCGCTTCCAATCAAACTCCAACCAATCCTAATTCTCCCTTGTTTCCCCCCTCAGCTGTTTTGACGAATCGAGACCACGTGGGGTAGGTCCGAATGTTACAAGAGAGGCTGGAGAGCAAGGGGGAGTTGCTGGTGGAGGAGTGGGGACTCACCAACCAGCCAACCCTACTCTACCTACGTCTACTACACCATCTCCAACAACCGTGGATCCCGTGAAGGCGTTCTCTATTGAGAAGTTCATGGAGGAAGACTACGAGCACTGGAGCTTCCGCATGAGGCTGATGTACACCCAATACAAGCTATTGGATCTGGTGGAGGGGAAGGAGAAGATGCCGGAGGCCGCGGAGTTGAAAGGAGCGTGGATGAAGCCATCGTTTGACGCGTCCATGCTAATGGTGCAAGCGGTTGGCGGGCGACAACTTGACCACATCAAGGACCTCTTGGGTGATCTAGAGTGTGGCCCCAAGGCTTGGAGGAAGCTTCTGGATGTGCACTCAGCGACACATGCTACCGGCATCGTGCTACTCGCGCGGCGGCTGCGCGACATCAAGTACTTTGATGGAGAGCCGATGCAACCGGTGTTGGATGAGATGCGGGACATCTTCACGAAGCTCCAAGGCGGCGGTGTGGTGTACCCGGAGCTCGTGCAATGCGTAGAGATCGTGATACAGCTGCCGGAGTCGTGGTCTGCCCTTGCGATCAACCTCAACTCTCAACAGCCCAAGTGGAGCGTGGATTACATTCGCGCGAGCATCCTAGAGGAGGACTTGCAGCGGCGGAGTGTGGAGCGCTCGGAGGAGGGGGCTGGCTATGGAGTTGGAGGTGGAAAGAGTAGCTTCAAGAAGAAGTGGAAGGGTAAGAACAAGGACAACCCTAAGGAGGATGGCGGCGATGGGTCAAGGGGAGGTGTGCTTCTACTGCAAGTAGCGCGAACATCATTGGTGGAAGTGCTACCAATGACCCAAGGATAGGACCCCGCCTTCATCAAGCAACCAGCATGGTGGCAAGAGGAGTGGGGGAGTCATGGGAGCTAGTGGAGAGGAGAAGGATGAGGAGAAAGGTGGCAAATCTGAGGAGCAGAAGGCCGGGTTCTTCTTCTTCGTGAACGAAGGCGCAACCGACCTCGCTATGGCTGCCAAGGTTCTCATACACCCCCTCACCCATTGGGTGATTGACTTAGAAGCTCCTGGCACATGACTTCTCGTGAGGACCTTCTTGATGAGATTCAGCTTGCACCTATCTCTACAGTCACATCCGCGACGGGCGCCAAGGCCAAGGTCATGGGCATGGGGTGCGCCAAGTTCATGGGAGCAGATGGAGAGCTCGTAGGGCTGAAGAACGTGCTGTGGGTGCCGGACTTGTGCCGGAACCTGATTTCTACCGGCCGGTTGGGAGATGCGGGTGTGAACACCGAGACGATTAGCTCGGAGCGCTATCGTGCCTACAACGATAAGCGGCTGATTTGGGACCTGCAGTAGAAAGGGGATGTTCACAAGCGGATGTGGCAGATCCCGGTCCTACCTTGGTGGAAATCTGGCAAGGCGGCAGTGGCGGCATCTATGGAGGAGAGCGTCACTGAGGAGGAGCAACAAGGTGTGCAAGGAGAGGAGCTGATTGGAGGAAGCGCGGCGGTGAAGGCGTCGGCTACCTAGGGCCAAGAGGATTGGGAGACTTGGCATCGGCGGCTCGCACACGTGGCTGTTTCTACATTGGAGGTGATGCACAAGGAGAAGTGCGTGATGGCCTGCAACTGCAATGAGATGGCACTCACTATGGCAGCTGCGAGGCGTGCATGCAAAACAAGTTTGTGCGGTTCCCGTTTCCACGTGCGGAGGGATCAGCCAAGGCACCATTGGAGGTGGTGCACATGGACCTGGTGGGTACTATGAGGACGGAGGGGACAAGGGGAGTGCTGTACTTCCTCACCATGGTGGACGAATGAAGCAGATTCACATGGGCTCGTCCCTTGTCGAAGAAGAGCGACGCTACAGCGGCAATCAAGGAGGATTGGTTGCCGATGGTGGAGTGGCAAGCGATGCGGCTGGTGAAGGTGCTGAGGAGCGACCGTGGTGAAGAGTTCCTTGGAGCGGCATTCACCAAGTTTCTCAAGAGGAATGGCATACGGCACCAGCTAACCTGCCCTGGAACACCGCAGCAGAACGGCATTGCTGAGCGCGCCAACCGGACCATTGGCGAGGCGGCTAAGACTCTGTTGGGGGCTGCCGGGATTCCCTACAAATTCTAGCCTGACGCCATTCGCCATGTCATCATGGTCAAGAACAGGGTCTTGACGCATGTTGGCGACAAGCATTGGGTGCCATACGAGCGTTGGCTTGGGAAGAAGCCATCCATTGACATGCGGCCGGTGTGGGGCTGCATGGGGCTTGTGATGGTGCCTAAGGAGCAGAGGCACAAGCTGGAAGTTGCTGCTGTGTGGGCTGTCCATCTTGGGATGGCTCCTGACTCGAAGGGGTGGCTGATGTGGGACCCCAAGAGCAAGAGGACGCTGGTCACTCGTGACGTCAAGTTTGTGGAGGACGTCATATATAAGGATTGGCAGCAGCAGCAGCAGGTGCAGATTGGCTTGCGTCTGCAGGAGATTGAGCGGTCTGCAGTGGAGGAGGTTCAGCTGCACCTTGAGGATCTCCCTGGGTCAGAGCTGACCAGTGACCACAGTGGCGGTGGTGAGCAGCAAGGTGCTGGTTCTGCTGCGGAGGAGGGGTTGGAGGATGAGTCGGCACGTGTGGACTCACCATCTCAGCCCGAGCCTGCTGCAACCGCCAAGGTCACCAAGAGGAGTGTGCAGAGAGGAGCTTCACCACATGGGCAGCAGATTGCAACCCGCGAGAAGAGAGTGGCAGCAGCACCCTCAAGGCTGAAGTATAGCCGTTTGGGAGGACCCAAGCAAGGTGCCATGGCGGTTCAGGCGGATGAGGGAGAGGATGAAGAGATGGCGTTCTGTTTCTTCCAAGCCTTGCCTGGAGAACCAGCCACAGTGGAGGAGGCACTGAGTGGACCCCCAAAAGGAGGAGTGGAAGGCTGCCATGGATGCGGAGTTCAACAGTCTCATTGAGAATGGGACTTGGGAGCTTGTTGAGTTACCCGAGGGGCGACGGTCAATCAACAGCAAGTGGGTCTTAAAGGTGAAGAGTGGTGCTGATGGTGCGTTGGAGCGGTTCAAGAGCCGTTTGGTCGCCAAGGGGTTTCAGCAGAAAGAGAAGGTCGACTTTGGGGAGCTCTTCGCTCCCGTTGCTAAGCCAGTGACACTGCGGACTTTGATGGCTAGTGCAGCTGTGAAGGGATGGCACGTGAAGTAGATGGATATTACCACTGCGTTCCTCAGTAGAGTGCTGCTGGAGGATATCTACATGGTGCAGCCCGACGGCTATGAGGATGGGACCAGCCGGGTGTGCAAGCTCAAGAAGGCCATCTTTGGCCTTAAGCAAGCGCCCAGGTATTGGTACGAGAAGCTGGAGGAGGTGCTGCTGGGTGGAGGCTTCAAAACGTCCCAGGCGGATCACAGCTTGTTTTTGATTGGAGAGGGTGAGCAGCTGCTCTTGCTGCTGGTGTATGTCGACAACATCTTTTGTTCTCACCTTCCATGGAGCAGATTGAGAGGACACAGAAGCTGCTGATGGACAACTTCAAGTGCAAGATGCTGGGGGATGTCCACTACTACTTGGGGCTGCAGATTTAGAGGGATGTTGAGAGGAGGTGGCTGAAGGTGCATCAGCCACACTACATCTCTGGTGTCATGGAGTGGTATGGTATGACTGGGGGCTTCAAACTGAAGAAGGCAACTGAGGAGGATGATGTGCTTGAGGATGAGCAGTAGAATGAGTACCAGACACTCATTGGGAGTGTGATGTATGCAGCTGTGCATACGCGACCTGATGCTTCATTCGGAGTGGGGCAGCTGGCCAGAGTTGTGCAGCGGCCCACTGAGGAGCAGTTGGAGGTGGCAA